CGGCTGATTACATTTCATTTTTCTAAAGGTGAGAATATATAAAATGCTTTTTTGACAGGTTTAAGTCATCGGCTGGCTTCTTTGAAAAAGAATTAACGAGCCTAGGGCCGAAATCGAACTAAGTCAACCTAAATCTCCTTTTTTCCTATACGAAGAAGCAGGCCGATGACTTAATCTAGCCAAAAAAAGCGTTTTATGTATTCTCACCTTTAGGAAGGAGGTTATCTGGTGTTTACACAAGACAAATTGTCCTAAATCGGAGAAAAATAAATATATACATATTTTTTAAAAACAATGAAATCATTCGAAGAAAAATTGTTCCCTGGGGAGGGGAAGTCAGCCTGCGTAAAACTCTCGATGACGAGGGAAATCCCCCATATCCGTTTCAAGACCCAATACCTTAACCCCATGTCAAAAATTAAAATAAACTTTTTCGGTTTTAACTCATAATTTTTATTCATTTAATTCGTATCAGTTTAGAAGCAATCATCAATGCTGGGCAAAGTACCATCACAGTACTTCCAGGTAGACCAGGCAGTCCAGCCTTGTTGTTTCAGCACCAATTGGGCGCACTTGACGGCGGGTTCAATGCTATCGACTAAGAAATCTTCACACTTGATCTTGCACTCATCATAGGAGAAGGCACCGGATGGGGGAGAGCACCAGTAGTAGTTGTTGATTTGGAAGATGCCATAGTCGCGGGAGCCATTGGAGTTCAAGGAACCGACAGCCTTGGTGTTGTAGGACGATTCGTGTTCAGCAATGCAGGTCCAGCGGGCCAATTGGTTCTTTGGTACACCCAATTTGTACATTTCACGGGCCAAAGAGCAGCGATTGTAGACCGTGCCGAAGGCAGGAGCGACCAAGAGGACAGCAGCCAAAATAGCGAAGGTGAATTTGAACATTTTGTTTAACTGGCGAAAAACAAACTATGCTTTCCTCCAAAATGTCTGGAGTTTTTATAGCGAAAACTGTTGAGGTGGAAACTGATAAGAGCCTCAATGATGGATGGGCCTATTTTTGTTTTTTCGGAGAATACTAATTAGTTTTGTTCCGATAATATCAGTTCAAAATAGTATCTTAAGTACTGATAAGTGTCAAAAAGAGATTAGCGATAATTTTTTCAGAACATCTGTCGGGCCATATAAAAAGGTGCTTTGAAAGGAATTTGTATAGTTTGTTTTCGGAAACTAAAACAAAATGTTCAAATTCACCTTCGCTATTTTGGCTGCTGTCCTCTTGGTTGCCCCTGCCTTCGGCACGGTCTACAACCGTTGCTCTTTGGCCCGTGAAATGTACAAATTGGGTGTACCCAAGGACCAATTGGCCCGCTGGACCTGCATTGCCCAACACGAATCCTCCTACAACACCAAGGCTGTTGGCTCCTTGAACTCCAATGGCTCTCGCGACTATGGTATCTTCCAAATCAACAACTACTACTGGTGCTCTCCCCCATCCGGTGCCTTCTCCTACGATGAGTGCAAGATCAAGTGTGAAGATTTCTTGGTCGATAGCATTGAACCCGCTGTCAAGTGCGCTCAATTGGTGTTGAAACAACAAGGCTGGACTGCCTGGTCCACCTGGAAGTACTGTGACGGTACCTTGCCCAGCATTGATGATTGCTTCTAAATTAGTTTGGTGATAGGATTTGATACGAAATAAAATAAATGGATTAAAAACGAAATTTAAAAAGTGTTTTAGTCATTTTTGGCAGAACTATATTTCGGAGATAAAATTAAGGGTTATGAAGAATAGTTTTCTAGGTTGACAAGACCTAGAAAAGGTGAAAATTTTTTTAAGAATGTCCTTCTCAAGGATAACCATATTTAGAATAAGTACATTTTTTAAAAGAAATATTATTCCAAGAAGTCCTGACCAGGAAAATGGGTATATTTTAAGATTTTTTCAAGGATGACCAGTCCTAGGAAACGTGGATTTTTAAATAATTTGTTTTATTGACTTGAAAAGTCGATTTGTTATTTTTTTTTAGTGGTAGGCCTTGAAAATTTGGATTTTTTAAGAATGTTTTTTAAGGATGTCGGACTTGGAAAACGTGGATGTTTTAAGAACATAATTTCACAAATAGCTCAATTTGAAAAATGTTAGAAAACGCGGATTTTTTAAAGAGAATTTTCAAGGGTATCCGGATTTTTTAAAGAGAATTTTCAAGGGTATCCAGTTCTACGAAACGTGAAAAAATCCAAGTTTCCTTGGCATGAATATTTCATCATAGATGGCCAGTCCTGTAAAACATGGATTGTTAAAATAAAGGATAGCCAGGTCTGGATTACATGGATTTATAAAAAATATTTTTTCAAGCATGACCTGGTTTGATAATCGTGGATTTTTGAGGATGGCCAGGTTTGAGTGCGAGGATTTTTAAAAAATATTTTTTCGAGGATGGCCAGACCTGGAAAATTTGAATTTTTAGGAATATTTTTCAAGGATGACCAGTTCGGGAAAAGTGGATTTAAAGAAAATGTTTTCAAAGATGGCGAGGCCTGGAATACGTGGACTTTTAAAGAATGTTTTTTCACATATGGCCAGGTCTGGAAAACGTAGATTTTTAAAGAACATTTTTCACATATGGCCAGGGTCTGGATTCTTGTTCTATGAAAATATGATATGAAAAATATTTCCTTTGTAAAATTTTTCATTTGACATTTCTTTCCTTTTAAAAAATTTTCATTTCACATTTTCATAGAACAAGAATTGAGGACCAGGTCTGGAAACGTGGATCAATATTTTTAAAATATTTTTAATATTTTTTCAGGGATGACCAGGTCCGAGAAACGTGGATTTTTAAAAAATATTTTTTTTTTGAATTTTTAAAGAATATTTTTTTTCAAGAATACATAGGCCTGGAAATCGTGAATTTTTAAAGAATATTTCTTTATCATGGATGGCCAGGTCTGGAGAACTTGGAATGTTAAAGAATATTTTTTATCAAGGATGGCCAGGCCTAAAGAACGTGGATTTTTAAAGAATATTATTTTAGGGATGTCCTCGCTAAACCTGGAAAACGTGGACTTTTAAAGAATATTTTTCTTTCAAAAATGAACAGGCCTGGATTCCTGAATTTTTAAAGAATATTATATTAAGGATATCCTCGCCAAGAAAACCTGGAATTTTAAAGAATATTATTTATCAAGGATGGCCAGGTCTGGAGAACATGGATTTTTAAAGAATATTATTTATCAAGGATGGCCAGGTCTGGATAACATGGATTTTTTAATAATATTTTTTCAGGGATGACCAGGTCTGGAAAACTTGGATTTTTTAATAATATTTTTTCAAGAATACCCAGGCCTGGAGAACGTGAATTTTTAAAGAATATTTTTTTCAACAATACCCAGGCCTGGAAAACGTAAATTTTTAAAGAATATTTTTTTTCAAGAATACCCAGGCCTGGAAAACGTGAATTTTTAAAGAATATTTTTTTCAAGAATACCCAGGCCTGGAGAACGTGAACTTTTAAAGAGTATTTTTTTATCAAGGATGGCCAGGTCTGGAGAACTTGGAATTTTTAAAGAGTATTTTTTTTATCAAGGATGGCCAGGCCTATAGAACGTGGATTTTAAAAGAATATTATCTTAAGGATGTCCTCGCCAAGCCTTGAAGACGTGGATTTTTAACGAATATAATTTTAAGGATGTCCTCGCGAAGCCTGGAAAACGTGGACTTTTAAAGAATATTTTTTTCAAAGATGAACAGGCCTGGATTCCTGAATTTTTAACGAATATTATCTTAAGGATGTCCTCGTCAAGAAAACCTCGAAATTTTAAAGAATATTTTTTTAAAAATGATTTTTTAAGAATATTTTCCAAGGACGGCCAGGCCTGGAAAACGTGGATTTTTAAAGAATATCTTTTCAAACGCCTGGACAAAGTTGATTTTTCAAGAATATTTTTTCAAGAATACACAGGCCTGGAGAACGTGGATTTTTAAAGAATATTTATTCAAGAATACCCAGGCCTGGAGAACGTGGATTTTTAAAGAAAATTTGTTCAAGAATTCGCAGTCTTGGAGAACGCGGTTTTTTAAATAACATTTTTTGAAGTATGGCCAGGCCTGGAAAATGTTTATTTTTAAAGAATACTTTTTCAAGGATGACCAGGCCTGGAAAACGTGGATTTTCAAAGAATATTTTTCAAGGACGGCAAGGTCGGTAAACGTGGATTATTAAATAATATATTTTAAAGATGTCCTCAAATTTTCAATGACTTCTAGATTTTAAAATCAAATATTAAAAAAAAGAATTTTCAGGCCGGAAAATAGTTGTTAAAGAATATTTTCCCAAGGATTTGAAGGAAGGTATTATTTCGAGAATACCCAGGCCTGGAGAATATGGATTTTTAAAGAACATTTATTCAAGAATACGCAGTCATGGAGAACGTGGGCTTTAAAAGAATATTTTTTGAAGGATGGCCATGCCAGGAAAAAGTTTATTTTTAAAGAATACTTTTTCAAGGATGACCAGGCCTGGAAACGTGGATTTTAAAGAATATTTTTTAAGGGCGGCCAGGTCTGAAAAGGTGAATTATTAAATAATATTTTTTAAAGATCTGACGTGGACTCTTCAAAAATATTTTTTAATTCACTTTTTTTACTATTTTTCAATGACTTCTAGATTTTTAAAAAAGGGAGTGTTAATTTTTTTTTAAGAATTTCCAGCCGGAAAATTGTTGTTAAAGAATATTTTCCCAAGGATTTAAAGGATCTGAAGAACGGCTCATAAAATATTTTTTTTGGAATGGTCAGGGTTATAATTGTTGATATTTTGAAAGTTTTTAAATTTTAGCCAGATGTAGAAAACGAGGATATTGAAATTATTTCTAATTAAGCAAACAAGTTAGACCAAAAATCTAAGATTTTATGTACCCAAATTGTTCTTCATAGAATTTTGAAAACTTCTCATTATGAATAACTTATTTTGAACAGTGTTCTTTACATTTCTCCTTTGCCTTTTGTCAAAAAAAAAAAAAAAAAAAAAAAAAAAAAACTACATATATTTTTATTATCAATAAGTTAATTACAAATAGTTCTGCAAATAACATTTTTCGAAATTTTCCAATTATCTGAACACAAAAGAAAAGTGTAGAAGTAAAATGCTCAACATTTGCGATACAGCCCCCACCACATCTGGCCTGAGATGGAATGCCTATCATTTGCACATTCCCCTTTATGTTCTGGATGTTATACGTTTGTTTCAGGATCATCCCAAATACGCCAAAGGTATTCAGGAGGAACATATTGTGGCAATGTTGGAGAAGGAGTAAGTTGGAAATTCAGAATTCCCCCCTTCTTTTTATCAAAAAGAAATCTCAATTTTTTTTCCAGACCCTTTGCCAACGGCGACATTGCGGCCCAGGTGAAAACAGCCCTCCGTGAATTAACCGCAATTGGTTTTGTTCGTTATGTGGCGCAACAAGGCTTTCGTACCCTCGGCCCCTTTGCCAAACTTAGCCAGGCTCGCACCAAACGTCAACAGGACAAGGCATGGGAATATTTGCATGACATGCACAAAACAAGTTTGAGCGATTTGAAAGCATTTCCCAATCTAAGGAGTAAAGCGGGTATTTAACTGTCAACCACAAATAGCTTCAAATTGAAAATGCACCAATACAAAGCAAAAGAAAATGGTCCCCTCCAAAAATAGAAAAATTGATTTCGATGACAAGCAAAATTACCGCAGCATAATTGAAATGAGGTTTTGAAAATTGATTAAGAGTTTAAAAGCGTTTTGGGTTTAAACAACGTATTTGTGGTTGGGAATCATTTAACGGGGAATTTTAATTCAAATAAAGAAAAAACAACGAACAACATAATCACAAATATTTAAACTAAATATTTAAATCAATATTTTTTAAAAATCCACGTTTACCAGTCCGTGGTATTCTTGAAAAAAAATTCTTTAAAAGTCGAAGTTTTCCAGGCCTTGAGAACCTTGAAAAATACTCTTTTTTTCAGACTTGGCCATCCTTGAAATAATATTCTTTAAAAGTCCTTGCTTTCCAGGCTTGACAATCCTCGAAAAAAACATTCTTTAAAAATCCAGATTTCTCAGATCTGAACCATCCTTGAATATTCTTTAAACATTCACGTTTTCTAGGCTTTAAAAAAATACTCTTAAATTCTAGGCCTGGGTATTCTTGAAAAAATATTCTTTAAAAATCCACGTTTTCCAGGTCTGGGTATTCTTGAAAAAATATTCTTTAAAAATCCACGTTTTCCAGGTCTGGGTATTCTTAAAAAAATATTAATAAAAAATATTCTTTAAAATGCACCTTATCTAGGCTTTAAAAAATACTCTTAAATTCTAGGCCTGGGTATTCTTGAAAAAATATTCTTTAAAAATTCACGTTTTTCAGGCCTGGGTATTCTTGAAAAAATATTCTTTAAAAATCCACGTTTTCCAGGCCTGGGTATTCTTGAAAAAATATTCTTTAAAAATCCACGTTTTCCAGGCCTGGGTATTCCTGAAAAAATATTCTTTAAAAATCCACGTTTTCCAGGCCTGGGTATTCTTGAACAAATATTCTTTAAAAATCCACGTTTTCCAGGCCTGGGTATTCTTGAAAAAATATTCTTTAAAAATCCACGTTTTCCAGGCCTGGGTATTCTTGAAAAAAATTTCTTTAAAAATCCACGTTTTCCAGGCCTGGGTATTCTTGAAAAAATATTCTTTAAAAATCCACGGGTCTGGGTGTTCTTGAAAAAATATTCTTTAAAAATCCACGTTTTCCAGACCTGGTCATACTTTAAAAAAATATTCTTTAAAAATCCACGTTTTCCAGACCTGGTCATACTTTAAAAAAATATTCTTTAAAAATCCACGTTTTCCAGGCCTGGGTATTCTTGAAAAAATATTCTTTAAAAATCCACGGGTCTGGGTATTCTTGAAAAAATATTCTTTAAAAATCCACGTTTTCCAGACCTGGCCATCCTGGGAAAATATTCTTTAAAAATCTACATTTTCCAGGACGGCCATGCTTGAAAAAATATTCGCTAAAAATCCACGATTTCCAAGTCTGGCTATCGCAGAAAAACTCACCTTTTTTGGGCTTACCAAACTTGAAAATTCCACTTTTAAGGACAATACAAATTTTCGATTTTGAAATCCACGTTTCTAAGGACCGACCGTCCTTGAAAAATTCATAAAACAACCCCGTTTTCCTAGTCTGAATTTCTGGAGAAAATATTTTTTTATATACATATTCTAAATATTCCTATCCTTGAAAACCCCCTTCTTAAAAAATCCCCACATTCTCTATGTCATGTCATCCTAGAAAACTATTTTTCACAAACCTGAATTATATCTCCGAACTAGAGTTCTACGAAAAATAACTAAAACATTTTTCAAATTCCGTTTTTAAACCATTTATTTAATTTCGTTTCAAATCCTACCATCAAATTAATTTAGAAGCAATCATCAATGCTGGGCAAAGTACCGTCACAGTACTTCCAGGTGGACCAGGCAGTCCAGCCTTGTTGTTTCAAAACCAATTGGGCACACTTGACAGCGGGTTCAATGCTGTCAACCAAGAAATCTTCACACTTGATCTTGCACTCATCATAGGAGAAGGCACCGGAGGGTAGGGAGCACCAGCAGTAGTTGTTGATTTGGAAGATGCCATAGTCGCGGGAGCCATTGGAGTTCAAGGAGCCAACAGCCTTGGTGTTGTAGGACGATTCATGTTCAGCAATGCAGGTCCAGCGAGCCAATTGGTTCTTTGGTACACCCAATTTGTACATTTCACGGGCCAAGGAGCAACGGTTGTAGACCGTGCCGAAGGCAGGGGCGACCAAGAGGACAGCAGCCAAAATAGCGAAGGTGAATTTGAACATTTTGCTTAAGTTGCCGAAAACAAGATCAAGTGTGAAGACTTCTTGGTCGATAGCATTGAACCCGCTGTCAAGTGCGCCCAATTGGTATTGAAACAACAAGGCTGGACTGCCTGGTCCACCTGGAAGTACTGTGATGGTACCTTGCCCAGCATTGATGATTGCTTCTAAGAAGTGAATTTAGGTGTTGATTTTGAAGACGATTGAATAAAGTTTTTTGATATAAAGGAAAATGGAAACATTGGTTTTATTTGGAAAAAATATTGAAATATTTCTATGGCAGATTTTAGTGGAAGTTCTGCAAAGATGTATTTGTCTACAAAAAGATATTCCCATTAGCTCAGTGGCCTAATTTTATGGTATACTGTCCAATAGGGTGTCCCCTCCATAATATTGAAACATTGTAGGTATTTTTGAACGAAAGTCTCTTTAAGAATTTATAAAAAATTCGAAAGTAGGGGATTTTATAGCAACGGAGGGAAATTTTTAACAATTTTCCAGGGTATCTTAGAAATTTTAAAATTTTGCAGTAAAATTCAAAATAAATATTCCCAGTGTTGTTGAAACATATATTTTAGTAATTTTTAAGGATAATTTGTTAATTTCCAGAAAAATTCCAAAAATCCCCAATTTTTGGGATTTTATTTTTTTCCAATTTTTGGATATGTTTCAATAATTTCTATTTCCAATTTTGGGGATTATAAACATATTTTTGTGGGGATTGTATGAATAAATCATTTATTACAGAGGCATTGATGATCGTTTTTAAGAAGTGTATTTAGCGTTGAAGATGATTAAATAAAATTTTTTGATATTGAACGAAAATTAGAATATTGGTTATATTTTAAAAACTTGCCTTGGAAATTGATTACATCTTTCCATGGCAGATTTTAGGGGAAGATCGTCCAGGAAACATTTGCCCATTAAATTATGTTCCAAAAAGTCCTGTGGTCTATACATTTGGTATATAGTTTCAAACGGTTGTCACCCCCATAATGTTGGAATATTGCAAGCATTTTTGAATAAAGGTCTCTTGAAGGATTAAAAAAATTATTAACAATTTTCCTGGGTATCTTAGAAATTCAAAAAATTTGGGAATATAATTCAAAGTAAATATTCCCAGTGTTTTCAACACAGGTGTTTTAGTAATTTTTAAGGATAATTTAGCAATCCCCAGATAAAATTTCAAAAATCCCCAACTTTGGGGATTTTCATTTTTTGCCGATTCTTGTATATTTTGCAATAATTTCTATTGGGTTTTATTTTAAAATATTATTTTGTGCCTTTAGAATTATAATTAAAGCTAAGTTAAACAAAATTTCCAATTTTGGGGATTTTAAACATTTTGTATGGGGATTGTATGAATTATTGATTTATGGATATTATTCAATGAAAAATTCCAGCGCATTCTTAAAAGAACTGCAACCTGCATAAATTGAGATCATAAAAGGAATTCCCATTTAAAATTATTAAAATTAATATTTTAATATTAAAATTAAAAATCCCCCATTTTGGGAATTTTGCCAATTTTTTCAGTTTTGGGTGGGGATTGTATGAATTATCGATTTATGGACGTTTTTCATGGAAAAACTACAGCGATTTTTTAAGGAATTAACATCCTCCATAAATTGTGATCATAAGAAGAATTTCCAAATTATTTTTTAAAAATTCCCCATTTTGGACATTTTTTTCAGTTTTGTGTTTCGATTGTATGAATTATTGATTTATGGATATTTTTTACTGAAAAATGCCAGGGCATTTCAAAAGAACACCAACCTGCATAAATTGAGTTTATAAAAATAATTCCCAAACTAACTTTAAAAAATCCCTAATTTTAGGCACTTTGCATTTTTTCAATTTTTTTAGGGGATTGCATACATTATTGATTTATGAAAAATTTCCAGGGAAAAACTCCAGTGCTATCTTAAAAGAACACCACCTGTATGCAGGGTGGTCATAAAAAAATTGGCAAATTATTTTTTTAAAAATCCCTCATTTTGGGCATTTTACATTTTTTCAGTTTTTTGTGGGGATTGTATGAATTATTGATTTATGGATATTTTTCATGTAAATACTCCAGTGTATTCTTAAGGAATCAACAACCCACATAACTTGAGTTAATTTTTGGAATTCCCACATGAATTTTTTAAAATCCCCAATTTTGGGGATTTTTCCATTTTTTCAGTTTTTTGTGGGAATTGTATGATGTAAGGATATTTTTCATTGAAAAACTCCAATGTATTCTTAAGGAATGAACACACCATACCACTTGAGTTTATTTCAGGAATTCCCAAAATATTTTTTTTTAAATCCTTAATTTTTGGCTTTTAGCATTTTTTCAGTTTTTCGTGGGGATTGTATGAACTATCGATTTATGGACATTTTTAATGGATATACTCCAGTGTATTCTTAAGGAATGGACATCCCATATCACTTGAGTTGATATCTGTATTCCCAAATGGGTTTTTAAAAATCCCCCATTTTGGATATTTTGCATTTTTCCAGTTTTGTGTGGGGATTGAGTGAACTATTGATTTTTGGAAATTTTTCATGGAAATACTCCAGTGTGTTCTTAAGGGAACACCATTCTGGATAGATTGAGGTCAGAAAAATAATTACCAAATTAATTTTTTAAAATCTCCAATTTTGGGGATTTTGCATTTTTCCAGTTTTGTGTGGGGATTGAGTGAACTATTGATTTTTAGAAATTTTTCATGGAAATACTCCAGTGTGTTCTTAAGGAATCAACAACCCACATAACTTGAGTTCATTTTTGGAATTCACAAATGTTTTTTTAAAAATCCCCCATTTTGGGTATTTTGCATTTTTTTCAGTTTTGTGTGGGGATTATATGAATTATTGATATTTTTTATTGAAAAACTCCAGCGTATTCTTAAGGAATCAACATTCTACATAAGTTGAATTCATTTTTGGAATTCCCAAATAATTTTTTAAAAATCCCCAATTTTGGGGATTTTGTAGTTCTTAAATTTTATGTTGAATTTTAATGGATATATAGGTTTTTTTTTGCATTGCTTATTAAACAATCATCTGCGAAAATATCTTCATCTAAAATTCTACACACAGTGAAGGTATACATAAGGTGGGATTTTTTTTATTTTTTTGAATAGTTGAAGTAAGGAGTCCTTTTAAATGAAAATACTTTATTGTTCCTTAAAACCCCACATTTTGTTGCAAATTTGGAAGCAAAATCAATGATGGCAAGATGAATATCCGAAAATCTTAGTTTTTGGGATTTTTATTTTTGAAATGTTTTGTTGTTTTTTTTTTAAAGGCTGTCAAACTTAAATTTCTTCCTCTGGGTTTTTAAATATTTTTTGTGGCAATTGTAAGATTTATTGATGTTTAAATATTTTTCTCATAAAAAATCCTGTCAGTGGTGAAGGCAACGGTATTCTGTAAAATATGAGGGCATTTTTTGGGATTCCCAAATGAATTTTTGAAAATCCCCAATTTCTGGGATTTTTTGTACCATGGATTTTAATTTGAATTTTAAATGTAAATATGGAGTTCTTTGGCTTGTATTGTCAAATATTATTATTTTATAAAAATTACCTAGACTTCAATCTAAAAAATTGAGGAAGTGAACAGTAACTGGAATTCAAAAAAATATATTATGTCGTTTTTCTCTTTTGTTGTTGTTACCAAATCGTCATTGATAAAAATCACAAAAATACATTTGAAAATTAACAGGTGTTTTGTCACAGGACAATTTATGCGTTTTTGTGTCCGAGTGCCTTTATCCATTTCCCTCCCTTTGTTTCCGCTCGAACAATTTGGCCACATACAAACAAACAAACAAGAGACACGAGCCAAAGGTCGCTCGCTCACAGCCATGTCTATGTTGTTTGGCATTTAACCCTCTAATTATGGTCACATGTTCAGGTGTCAGACTATAGGGTTAAGTGTTAAAAAGGATGTTACTCTCCGAAAATGTTACCGGTTCTTCCCTTTTTAGAGTGGCTCTATTCGATTTAAAGGACAAATTACTTTTGGAACATGTGTTAAATTTTCCAAATAATAAAACATAGTTTGTCAATATGGCAAAAGGCCGACTAGCCGACACACACACGAAAAAGGATGGCTCATTTACGAAATCCTTGGTCAGCCATGCCGGGAATTGTCAACCCCCATTAGAGGAGTTAGTTATCAATATGCCATGTTTGCTCATCATGAGCACCATCATCATCATCATTAGAATTCTCCATATATCTATAATTCATGGCCTCATATTACAGGACACATAATAATTATGTGTCCTTATAGTCCTTTATGTGTCCTTTATTATAAGTAATTATTGTCCAAAAAAAAGGATATGGAAACTCTCTCTAATATTTTTTATTGTTTCCAAATAAATGTTTCTTTTTTCGATTTTGATTTAGCCTTTGGCCGAATGGAAATAGCAGGGGAGGTAAAGGATAATTTGTGTGTCCGTCTCCCTTGTGGTCAATGTTTTGTTTTTTTGTCCTAATGGTCTCGGTTTGTGTTTGAGTTGTTATCATTTGTCATCCATGAGACAATCATCCGTTCATTCATTTACTTATTTCATTTGCATGTGCCAGTATGTGTTAATGTGTGGTAATTGTTTGTATATTTTTGGGATATTGAACCATTATTTGAAAATTAACCAAATATTTGGAGGACTAATGATATGGGTGTTATTACTGCAGAACAAATATTCCACATGAGACCTGGTGGCAGACGGGGTGAAATTTTTGTGTAAAATAATCTTCGATAAGGGAAAACAAAGAGGACTCCTCTTTCCCCCGTTAAATTTTAATTAAAAACACAAAAAAATAAAATCCCCAAAATTGGGGATTTTTCAAAAACTAATTTGGGAACTCAAAAAAATCTCAATTGACAAATTTTTTATAAATTACAAACATTTTTCTTCGAAAATACACCAAAAATCAACAAATCCCACAATTCCTCCGGGAAATTTCTAGTAAAAATGCAAAAAAAATAAAATCCCCAAAATTGGGGATTTTTCAAAAACTAA